CGCGGCGCTTGTCATAGAACTTCTTCTGAGCAGCTTGAGCATCCATCAGATTTTGTCGAGCCCGCTCAATCACTTCCTGGCGATGATGCACGAAACGCGAAGCATACTCCACTCTCGACACTGTTACAGGTTCTCCATTGTCAACGGAACTCAGAGGATTCTTGGGTTTCCGACCGGTGTCGACAAAGAATGGAGACAGCTTGGACGAGCTAGACACTAAGGTTGCGTGCGCGTACTCAATCATCGGCAGATACTCGTTCCAATCGTTGCCGTGATATGAGATGGAGCATCGCAGCGAGTCCTCCAACGTCCTGTTTTGGCGTTCAGTCTGGCCGTCGGCTTGAGCACGGTGCGCCGTGGTCATCGCAGTCTTGATCTTCATCAAGCTTGTCAAGGCCGACCAAAACTTGGATGTAAACTTTGGGTCTCGATCGGAAATGATGGTCGACGGGATGCCATAGTATCGGATGACATTGTTAAAGAACAGCTTCGCTGTATCTTCCGCAGTAGCCGTTGTGTGTGTCGGGATATACACTGGCCTCTTGGACAACTTGTCAACAACCACCATAATCGCATCGAATCCATCCGATACTGGTAAATGCGTGATGAAGTCGGTAGAGACCACGTCCCAACATGCCGATGGCAATGTAATTGGTTGAAGCTTGCCCGCTTTACGACCTGTGCTAGACTTGTATCTCATGCAGGACTCACAGCTTCGAACGTACTCCTTGATGTCAATATCCATGCCAGGCCAGTAGTACCACTGCGCAGCGGCTAACTGCGTGCGGCGAACACCAGGGTGTGCCATGATGGCGGCATCATGAACGTTGTGGATGACATCCAAGCGCAGTTGTCGATCATTCGGTACGCACAAACGTCGAACGCTGTCACTACCCTTCAAGTAGATCAGTCCATCGAGCAACTCGTAGTCGCTGCTATTGGTCTTGGTACGCCATTGTTTCTTGTAGGCAGGGTCGCTCGTGTAGGCCTTCTGATACGACTTCTTCGTGGCCCTATCGAGTTGGATGGAACTGACCGTCGTCGTAGGGTCAACTGCCGCAGCGTTCATCTGGATCTGCTTCTGTGAAGCCCCAACAACACATGCAGGTGATGCCGGGTGCTTGGTGCTTAGCATAATCGCTTGATCGCGCGACGATATGCTCAGCAGCTTATCCGTCGTTGCCATGCGTCGCGCACTGGACTGCCGAATAGTTTCACATGTAGCGCAGGAAAATCGGAGGGCACAGACCGATATAGTCGTGATGGCATCCTTGTCTCCTCCCCCTGGCGTAGCTGAAGCCGTCGGTGGACGTGAGAGGGCGTCAGCTACCACGTTCTGTGAACCGGGCCGGTGATGTAGCTTGAAGCCGAATGATGCAAAGAAGTCAAGCCACCGAGCCAGTCGTCCAGAGACTTGGGGGTGCTGTAAAAACCACTTGCAAGCCGAGTTATCCATGACAACGTCAAAATGGGTCCCATGCAAGTAGTGGCGCCACCTTGTGAAGGCTTGCTTGATTGCAAAGAGTTCTTTTTCATGCACGGGCCAGTTGAGTTCGTGAACGCCGAGCTTCTTGCTATAGAAAGCCACTGGTAAATCATGCCCGTCGTGCATCTGCGAGAGAACACCACCGACGCAATCGTGGCTGGCGTCTGTCGTGACAATGAAGGGCCTGCTTACGGACTTGGAGGTAAATCGGAAACTGACATTGATCGTTATGTTCTCTTGTTTGCTAGCTACCTCGACATGCAGTGAACGGTTGGCTGTGGAGCACTGTCGGCTCCGCTGCGCAAAGCCTTGGATATGAAGCTGGCTGTATCTTGATGTGTGGCTGGACTAATTATTGATGTTCTTGAGCAGATCCTTACAGTGAACCTCTGATGCCCTCGGACCTAGCTGATCATCTACCCGAGGAGCTGTCCAGTATCACCGATCATCGCGTAAAACGGGTTGACCCTGGCACAGGTGAGGCGTGTACCGTCTCCCTTGCGTACGGCTTAAACTATGTCTTCTACACGAGTAAGAGATCGTCGGAGCAAGGGGCTCCCTTGGCAGATCATTCTGCATCGAACCAAACGAAGCCTCGCCAGGTCAGCACGCTGTCGCTACGCAGGATGGCTTCTTCGACCCCTTGGTGGACGACGACGAGAGCGTCCGCGTCCCGGAGCTACTAGACAGCACAAAACGCATGCTGCCAGAGGCAACGGATGTTCGGAAGATCCAGCCGAGAGGGGAGCAGATCGGATCAACCGGGTACTTCCGGCCGACTACGGCCACTGACGCTGCCCTCACGACCGGTCGCGAGACGGGTAGATGCACAACCAGAGCGAATACGCAAGCGTTAGAGATCATCGAGCTCATTAGATGCCACAGACCGCATCTTCTCGGAGCTTATCTCTCCCAAAATGGGCCCAGCGGCAGAATACCAACGCGACTTCGGGAACTTCCATCTCGGACCGATAATGCGGCCCCACCGGCGAAGCGACCACGGCTGGCTTTCTCTCCATCGGCAGAACAAGAGCGGATGCACCAGCTACTGACATCTACACAGCACGCAGGTAAGTCAAGCGATGTGTTTATTGAATTTGTTTTGGGTATGGACCAGTTTGCATGGCACCCGGGTACGCTGGCGAGCGTATACGACCTTTTGGTTTGGATACCATGGCCTGTCAATCTCTCAATTCAGACGCTTGGGAGCGTTCGACCAGTATAGGACCAATGTAATACCAGCTAGTTTGAGCTCTGACTTCTCTACACCTCCGCCACCCGCCCCGGTCCCAAAGACATCGAGCGAACTCGGCGCGGTGACTCGCCGTTTTGTGGTCTATACGCAAGCGATGTGCGATGACGCAACAGTTCAGCTGGCTGCGATTTCGTCACCGAGCTGGAGGGGTGGGGGCAGCTTGCAGAGGGCGATCTGTCAATGCTGGTCTGGAGGATTAACAAGGTACTCGAGAAGTATCGCAATGCCGCCTCTCATGACCTCGACTCTGGTAAGGGTACGCGTGTTAGCATCGGAAGTCTCCTCACCACTTCGAACTCCGAGCTTTATGGACTAGCGGTCGTGTCTTTCCGAGAGAGGCTTAGTGAAAGCGCTAAGACCCGAGACAAGGGACCGATGCCCAAAATTCAAAGCCGTCCCCGAGATTTTTCACGAGAGAAATGTTCCGAAGGACGTTATTGAGCATATCCTCACATGGGACAGCAAGGAAGTATACCTCCACTTTTTATCCAAAAGGGGCTGCAGCTCAAAAGACCCAGCAAAATGCACGTTTCAAGACCGACTTCACTTCTGACCTGCCGAGATACCGACGTGCGTACGTGAGTACATCGCAAAAACGCTGGGTGGTCTGCGTCAACGGCCGACGCAAGCCTGGGGAGCCAGCGGGTCCCACAACTGCGGCCAGTGTCTTTGGTGCCCCAAGAAAGCGTGCTGGAGCGACTGCGCGCAGCGTTGGGCGCGTCGGGATTGGACGATACAGTGTACGCGATGTGCAGTACAAGACCCACTACCGCACCATTGTCGTCTCAGTGTTTGTGTAAGTGAATGGCATTCGAAGGCTTTTTAGTAGTCGAAACGAGAATCTCTTTCACGTCTGAGAATGATTGTTCATACATGCTTAGTGAGCTCGAGAGCATCCTGCTTTTCCAGCGCGGAGTCGACCGAGAGAGTCTTGGTCTACACGTTTGCAAGCAGTGCGATGATAACTTGAGGAAGCGGGACATCCCAAAGTTTGCAATCAAGAACGGGTTTTGCATCAGCTCACTACCGCCCAATCTGCAGCAGGCGACGCTACCCAAAGATGGGATGACCCAGCTCGTTATTGCAATCGTCATCACCAGGGTCATGCGTGGATGTGCCCATCGCGCGATCTGTTTCCATTGGCTTACGTTTGACGCGACACCGGGACCGCCAGCGATGTTGTTGCCGACACCAATGCGCGGCTTGTCCTCGTATCGTGTCGTCATGGTGGGACCGTTTACTACCATCCAACAAACTCGGGTTCACAAGATGGATCGCGTGCGACAAATAATGGTTGAGGTCCTGCTACGGTTTTATCGCGCCCACATCTGGATGTACGCGCACGTAGCTGTCGATTTCTCGCAGCTAGCCGAAGACCAAGTTCCGGTCGATATGTTAGATGAAGGGCCCAACGCTAAGATCGATGCTGAAGCCGCTGATCTCGAAGATAGCCGGGTTGGGGGCGTCGCCGACAACGACTCTACTGTCGCCGAGGCCGAAGTGGTGGAGCGCGTGGTGGTCGCGTCTGACGACCGCGAGGTCGCTACTTTGAACGATTCTTCCGCCACCGACGCCCGCACAGGTTCCGAGGAGATCGCGCATACGGCTGTTGAGATTTTTAAAGAGACTTCATCAGCTCGACAAGCAATACTAACGTCATCCGCCGTGCATGTTGACCGCTCGACCCGCGGGTACCGGCATGTATCTGACGCAGCAGAGCGGTTTTGTTGACGCAACTCCCAACGTGCGACCACCAGTGCATGTTGAAGAGGTACACCAGCACCGAGACAGCAAAGGCATGTACGAGTAACGACCACCGAGCGTCGTCAAAAGTTGGTGGCACTGTCAACACGGCTCAAGCGCCCGAGTCGATGCGGAACTGGTCGTTTTGAAAGCATTTGCTGCACTGTGTCGGACGGTTCAGCGACCGAAGTTGGTTTCCATCTGCGTCTGAGTTGATTTCGCGGCCCGCCAAGTAGCTTTCGGGGCGGAAGATTGCGTTTTTTTTTTTGGGGGGGGGTGAGGGGGGGGTCGAGCTTCGGCAAAGCACTTCGCGATCAACCGCCACCCTTAGTTCGGTTAGATGATCTTGGCGCAGTGGTGGCCACAGTTCCGGACGAGGATCAAGAATCACGCGACGAAAAACGTGCTTTTCCAGCTTTACTTTCGCACGAATTGGGGCTGTAGAGTAGTTCATTGAGGCGTTAAGTGCCTCCAGCGGGGTGTAGCGTAGATGTAGCCCATTTAACGCAGTCTCGCTTAACGACGAATGAGCAGACCGTCAGCACGTTTATCAACCTTGGGTGCCAGCTTCTTGATAGTCGTTCTGTCCATGCGTGCGTATTGTTCGTAACAGTCGGAGCTCCACCGACCAAAGTGTTTGATCATAAGTCGATCGACTCCCTCCGCGAATAGCGCTGTAGGACCTCCGCCCCTGAGCGAATGTGTCCCGTACTCCAAACGCTGCTCGCCAATGTCCTGTGCCGCTTGCTTGATCGCCGATGACATCGCATCAGCAGAGAGCGCACAATCACGAGTGATTGAGCAGAGTAGATTATTATTGCCGAGTCCATTCCGGTTTCCGTGATCAACAAGGGACCACGCCGCTTTTACCGGGCACAGCCATGATGACAATGATTTTTCGAGCGACCTGGTTATGCCGAACCCGCGTTGATCCGTTTTACTGCCTCTAAACTTGACTTGGACGATATGAGGTGTACCCACAGACGATGTTGATTTGCTTTCTCTTATCCAGAACGTCACGTCTCGACGTTGAATTGTGTAGCTGTTCTGTTTTCCTTTGTCGACGAGATACTCGGACCGACGGAGTAGGAAGAAAAATCCCACGACCCCCCCCCCCAGAGAACGCGGTTGTGGGTGCTTGAAAGGACGCAGTTGGCACGGAAGCGTCGAAGTAGAATAGCGGACACTGGTCGTTTCCGGCGAGGAGCAGGCGACATCCGCGACATCCCCTGCATTGCCAGTTGGTGGCCAGCGTGAAGTCCGACTGGATATCCGCAATATCGCCGATGATACCAGCTGATATGGCCGAGTTTGGACAAAATGGTGGAGGTGTTGTTACCTTGCAATTTAGCGCAGGGTTGCCAGCATGGAGTACAAACGAGATGAGCTGGGTAGAATCCATTTTTCGGTCACCGCTAAGCCACTGCGAGGCACCGCGGCTGGTGCACCACTGGCACCACTGCCGCCACGTCGACTTGTACTTCCGATGGCACGAGCTGGCCAATGCATGGGACTGTAGCCTTGCGAGAAGGTCTTGTACGGGTACCGTGCCGATGGGGAAACTGGTCTTTGTGTCCATACACGCGAAAAAATAGTCCAACGGCGGCGAAAAGGATCAGACCACGCACGAGAACCCGCGTCTGCGGCGTAGTTCGCGGCCCCCGGGAGGTGGTAAGATGAGATGCGGAATCGTGACGTAGCCTCACACAACTCGATAGGACGAAGGAGCTCTTGTGCGAGGGGGTCGTCACTGCGTAGTGATTCGGACCAGGCCACGGTACTGGTGTTGGCCGACCACGCTCGAACGGTGGTGAAGGCGCACACCGACGACGGCGTCCAGTCACTTCCCCAGACCACTGCAGCCAAGGTGACACAAAAGAGCTCACGAACGTTAATTGAGAGTCCACTCTCGCCCGAGCTCGAATCAATCAATCGGCACTCGTCCTCATCGAAGCGAGCTTGAATGTAGCGCTCGCGTGCTGGGTCGAGGACAGCCAGACCTTGATTTGAGGCATCCATATATACGTGTACATCTGGCACTGGTTCAGTCCAGAACAACTGGGTCGGAAGACCGCGCCAGTCGCCACGCATGAGGATCGATCGAAGCCATGCGAGGGCTAGACGCAACGAATCGGAGACAGGAATGCGACCACGCCTGGGGGCACACTTGTAGGATGTGTGCAAGCGCTGATGAAAAGGTATCGCTGACGGGAGGCAGATACAGACGTGCCTTAGGCTACCAAGAAGGCACTCCAGGTCATGGCGACTCACATCACGACGCTGTGCCATTCTCTCGACACGCTGAAGAGCCTTGTTAATCTTCGCTATCGGCATTGACGCCGTTTTGAGCTCGGTATCGAATTCCAGCCCCAAAACTTCCAGGCGCGTCGACCATGCGGAAAATTTGTTCTCGTTGCTCGCGGCCCTAGTATGGCTCGTATAGCGAGACAAAGTGCTGTCACCGCGGCAGATAAACGTGCCGGTATGTCAGTTCTTACGAGGACATGATCATCCACCCATTCGTAAGGAAAGAACGGCTCTGAATGGGGCTCAGCTCCCCCACTGAGTGAACGGGGGCTATCGCTCCGCCGAACACTACATAATATGGTGGTGAGCCGAACCACCCAAACGGCGCGGACATCTCGACGACAAGTGCATCGCACTGGGGTAGACGCCCGCCCATCCACCGGACGGCCTCGCTCACCAGCATTAAATGCCTAAAGGAACTTTTGACATCGCCTTTCATGATGCACACGAGCACACCCGGATGAGCAGCAGTGCACTCATCAATGCGACGCGCGATCGTGGCCACTGACTTAAACTGGGTACCCGGGAAAGACGTCGAGTTGGAGGCGTCGTTTGCTGACTTACCCCGCGGGTACGCCAGATCGTGGATGAGTCGAACTTCAATGGACGGATCCATATCCTTCTTGGGTACGGCTCCAAGCGGACTAAAATGCAAGGAGGCGGCGATGTCATCGTCGAGCAGTAGGTACTGTCCAGCAGCTTGGCCCTTGGTTATGCTTGATAGGACGGCACCTAGGTGCCTGTTGGCAGACTGGTGATTGGCAGGTGGAATACATTCGTGCGGATCACGCTGCAGCCACCGTGGAGATATACCTTCCGAGGCAATTGATTGCAGAAGTTGTTGGTGGCGGTTACCCTGCAACAGGACCTCGTAACGACGAGGGTATATGGCCTTGTTTGGGCGCCTATCTTCTAGTGTCTGACCTCGCACTAGCTCAACCAACAGGACAAGAGAAATCCGTGGTCTCGCGCAAGGACGGAAAGAGAACGTTGCCGTACATAATCCACTGAGGCTGAGGTTGCTGGTTTTGTCAGCTCAACGGTGTTTGGTATTTCGATCTGGTAGGCATTAAGAGCGCAAGAAATGGCCAGGTCTCGTCGGGTTTCAGCTGCGCACAAGGCGTGTTCAAGCGATCCTTGCACAATACTTGGGTCCGGCAACCCGACCAGTCGGGAGAGCGTTTCCTCTGAAGATGTGGGTACTTCGAGCCGACGTCTAGCATGTACGGGGATGTGGAAAGCCTTGGCGCTGCTAGGTTGACCCGTCAAAGTCGGTCGTAGAGCCGCCCGTGTGGTACACGGGCCGATCTGAAATGTGGCCTTCGGTGAAGGTTCGGCAGACAATTACTGGTTCACCCGGTGGGTGACCATATGACGTGGCTTACGCCGACATCGTGTTGAAGACGCCGTGTTTACGATTGAGGGTGGACACTGTTTTTCACGGTGTGAATCAGCAGGTTCCATAACTTGTGCCAAATCCAGTTCGATCTCCCCTTCGGGATCAAACGGATGTGTTTCCAGTCTAAGCTGCGCTTGGCGAACGCATGTAGATGTTGAGCGCACGTCAAGCTCATTTACAACATCGGTAGCAGGTTCGGATCTTTGCCTATGTGCTGGCATTGGTGTCGAAGGTGCAGCCAAATGATACCGTCTCTCTCGGTGCCGTATGCGCTCTTCCTGTCGGTGCCTTTCGCGATCTTCAGGTGCTCGTTGAGCACGGTACCGACGCACGGCTTCGGCATTTCGGCGCCACCGGTCCGTCGCCTTCTGCTCCGCAAATTCAATGCTGAGATCTCTGGGGTCACCCATGCTATTTGCTGCAACGTGAGGGCCTCAACATCGCGTTGAAATGAAAAATCCCATCCTTACGCATACAACAATTCGTGCTGTGCAAATGAACCAGGGACGCGACGTTCTCATGCTGAGCGCTTTATTATGACTGCGAAGCTATCTAAAGATGTTGACCATTAAGAACACACCCTTTAATGAATGAGCGCCTACATTATCGGGTCGGTGTACAAGAAAACTGTCCAGTGTAGTCTGCTTTAAGCGCTTGGTCATTGTGGACAGCTCACTCGATGACCACCCACCGTGCTGGCGTTAATCTTGTCGTGCTTCAATGACGCCACGTCATGGTACAAATATGCACAGGCACGTGATGCTAACGTAGCAACAGACACATAAGCCACATAGTACACGTCCCCTGTTTCCCTCAATATTCAATCTAACGAATCGCATGATGGGAGCAGTCAAAGCAATAGTCGAAACTAAGCTAGTCACCCGCACTTACATTTTGAATAGTGAATACACCACATCGCTCCCCGCCGCAATGTTCTGCTTCTCAATCCTGCAGTTCAAAACACAGCAGTGGGACATGAACCGCAGCACGCCCCCTCTGTGTGTCGACGACCTCACCAGGCGCTAGCTGCATCATGTACCAGCATATCCAATCCGCATAAACCTACGGCAAGTCCGTCAGCGGGACAAAGCACTTGAGTCGTCAAATCCATTTCTATTCAATCGCCGCTCTGCACCACTGACAAACTATCCGATACTCGCCGACGAACGTATTATCTTCTCCAGCGTGAGCACACCAACGCCCTTGCGACCCCAATCGACCACCTCAACCGGCAATGCTGAGCCCACTCGGAAGCTACGATTCATGCACTTGCTCCCGCACGGGCAGTATCGGCGAATGAATTCGTACCCCGTCTACATGAGCGCAATTCAATCCGGTCAATATGTGGCTACGCGTTAGCACACTTCACGAAGCACTTATCAATCGATTCAAACAGCCATCGAGGCAACTAGCCACATCTTGAGGTCCCACCGCGCATTTGAAAATCCAGATGTCGTCTTAGAGCATGTCATATCTATTGCAAATCTAACGAGCGTTGATCACGTAGCCAAACCGCCATGGCACGTTCCTTGCGCTGTAGATAAATGCTTTAGGTGATGATCTCGATCAACCTAAATGCGCGGTCGATCAATGAATTAAATCATTCAACCTATGTATACGACGTACAGCTCCTCAAACGTCAAGAACGGCGCAACGATCAGCCCCCCTACTGGCAACAACACCGTATCAACGAAGCTGTAGCATTTACCTTGAAGTTATGAGTCTGGCCTTACCTCCACATCAACCACCCAAACAAAGTCTCCTGGCCCCATCTTGCACTGTACTTCTGATGGAGCGGTTGGCCATTCCGCCCCAACGCAAACGACCGCGTCGAACTCTACGACTCATTTTTTTTAATTCGTCAGCCACAAGCAAAAGGAGTCAACTGCACCGCCTATCGAATCCGATGAAGCGACAAAGGAGGTCGTCAAGAGCGCCGCCGACACCCACCACGCTCGAAATCACCCACACCAACACCATGGATCAATGTGGACGCTCCAATGTACGAACCCCCTTTTAAAAAAGTTGAACAAATGCACCCAAAGGAAATCTTTACTAC